TATGTTTTTATATTTTTATTTCTACATTGTATGTCGTTTCTTGTTTCTCATAGAAGTGTTGTGCACCTAACACCAAATCAAATTCCTTGTAGGTGAAAAACCTACTTGTGTCATGTCGGGTGGATGCTCTAGCCCACATGCAGAACACAACAGGGGAGGCAGAGGATCAGGTGAAGGGGTTTATTGACAGGAAAACGGCTGGGAAGCCGGCGAGGGGGGAAACAGAGCGGCTCGGGTCCCACGGGTGTCAGCGGTGCGGTGATTGTCAGCCGAGGGGTTCTGGAGACGCTGGCGCTTGGATGGCTCGGGCAGGTCCAGGTCCTCTGGGCAAGGGAACCTGGCGGCAGGGAGCAGGAAGGTAAATATACTCGGAGTTAAACACAGAAACAGACTGGCTCAGGAGGGCTCGGAGTTACCATTACTGGCTAACACTCAGGCGTCGAAGATCTGGCAGCCCGCTCCTTAAATGCAGCCGGGTGGTTTCACTCAATTGGGATCAGGTGTGCTGGTAGGTGTCAGGTGAGACCGGGGATGTGCAGCAGGCCGCCTCTAGTGGCGGAGAGGTGAGTGTGAAGTGCAATGCGGATCAGTGAACCCCGGACCATGACAGTGCCCCCCCCTCAATGGTCGCCACCTGGCGGCCTATAGGAGCACGAGGGGAGAGAGGAACGGTAATCAGAGATAAGGGTCGGGTCTAGGATGAGGGAACCGGGAACCCAGGACCGATCCTCCGGACCGTAGCCCTCCCAATCGACAAGGTATTGCCACCCACGACCTCGTCGACGGGAGTCCACGATCCGGCGGATGGAGTAGGCCGGATGGCCACCAACTTCTCGGGGGGAAGGAGGGGGCTCAGAAGGTGGGCAGAGCGTGCTTGTCCGGACGGGCTTGATTTGGGAGACGTGGAAGGTGGGGTGGATGCGGAGGGATGTGGGGAGGCGGAGACGGACGGCAGACGGGTTGATGATGACAACCAAACCTTCTGGCCAGGGGAGTAAGTGGGGGCCGGAATCCTCCTGCGGTCAGCCCTTCGCTTGTTCTGCTCCGCGGTTCAGTTGGGGTTGTGGATGGTGGCCCCCCAAATCCTGTGGCAACGGCGAATGTGGTGGCGTACGGAGGCGACGGAGATGTCTTTCTCCTCGGACGGGAGGAGAGGGGGTTGGTACCCAATGGATGCCTCGAATGGGGAAAGACCTGTGGCAGCTGAGACGTGGCTGTTGTGCGCGTACTCAACCCACGGGAGGAACTGGACCCAATCGGACGGATTGGTAGAGGTGAAACAACGGAGAGTGGTCTCCAGATCCTGGTTTAGGCGTTCCGTTTGGGCATTAGACTGTGGGTGAAAACCAGACGTTAGTGAAACTTTTGCGTTGAGGGCAGCACAGAAGTTCTTCCAAACCCGTGAGATAAACTGCGGCCCTCGGTCCGACACGATCTCCAGGGGGATGCCGTGGAGACGGAAAATGTGCTTGATCAGCACTTAGGCTGTTTGGAAGGCTGTAGGTAATTTGCGGAGGGGAACAAAATGACAGGCTTTGGAGAACCTATCAACGATAGACAGGATTGTGGTCATACCTTTGGAAGGTGGCCGGCCAGTGACTAAGTCGAGGGACACATGGGACCATGGGCGTCCAGGTACAGGAAGGGGTTGGAGGAGGCCAGACGGGGGTCGATGGGACGACTTATTTCGGGAGCAGATCATGCAGGCTAGGACGTATTCCCGGACGTCCTTATGGACAGAAGGCCACCAGAACCTCCGGTTCACCAAGGCCACGGGATACCAGGATGGGCCGAGAACTTGGAGGCATGGATCCACTGAAGGAAGCGGGCTCGGAAAGTAGATGGGACGTAGATCCTGTTGGGTGGACAAGAGTTAGGAGCTGGCTCGGTTTGTTGTGCTTGCTTAATAAGATCCTCGACCTCCCAGGTAACTGTGGCAACAGTGCAGCTGGGAGGGAGGATGGTGGCTGGAACCCTCTCCGAGTCGTCCGGTGAGTGTATGCGGGAGAGGGCGTCTGGCTTCACATTGCGAGACCCCGGACGGAAAGAGATGGAAAGGTTAAACCGGGAGAAAAATAATGACCACCGTGACTGTCTGGAGTTTAACCTCTTAGCTGATTGCAGGTAGGACAGGTTTTTGTGGTCTGTCCAGACCAATACTGGGTGCTCTGCTCCCTCCAGCCAATGCCTCCACTCCTCCAGGGCCAATTTAATGGCCAGCAGTTCGCGGTCTCCCACGTCATAGTTCCGTTCCGGGGGGGACAGTCTGCGTGAGAAGAAGGCACACGGGTGAGTTTTATTATCTTGGGAAGATACCTGGGACAAGACGGCTCCAACTCCGGAGTCAGAGGCGTCGACTTCCACGATGAACTGCTTCGAGTGGTCTGGTTGGGTGAGAATGGGAGCTGTGGCGAAACGGTTCTTAAGGCCCTTGAAGGCCCTTGAAGGCCGCGTCAGCTTCCGGGGTCCAGCCGAAAGGAACCTTAGTGGAGGTGAGAGCTGTTAGGGGCAGGGCAGTTTGGCTGTAATTTCTGATAAAGCGACGGTAGAAATTAGCAAACTCAAGGAAACGTTGTAGTTGCTTTCGGGTCTTAGGTGTGGGCCATTCTAGGACTGCCCGGATCTTCTCCTCCGAGGCCCTCACCTCTCCGCCCCCCAGGACGAAGCCAAGGAAGGACACCGATGGCTTGTGGAACTCGCATTTCTCCGCCTTGACGTACAGTCTGTTCTCCAGGAGGCGCTGCAAAACCCGGCGGACATGATGCCTGTGGTCGTCCACTGATTTGGAATAAATCAGGATGTCGTCAAGGTACACAAAGACAAAGATGTTCAGAAAATCCCTTAGTACATCATTTACCAGGGCTTGGAAACAGGCAGGGGCGTTAGACAGACCAAAAGGCATCACAAGGTACTCAAAATGTCCCAAAGGTGTTTTAAATGCCGTCTTCCACTCATCCCCTCTACGAATGCGGAGCAGATGATAGGCATTTCTTAAGTCCAATTTAGAAAAAATGGTGGCACCATGAACCGGTTCAAAGGCTGAGGATAGCAGAGGTAGAGGGTACTTGTTCTTCACCGTGATGTTATTTAACCCCCGGTAATCTATACATGGTCTTAGAGAGCCATCTTTCTTACCCACGAAGAAGAAGCCCGCTCCCAGGGGCGAAGAGGAGGGGCGGATAATGCCAGCTGCTAGCGACTCCCTGATGTACCTCTCCATGGTTTCTCTCTCGGGGCGTGAAATGCTATACAGGCGGCTTGTGGGTAATGGGGCTCCAGGTAGCAGGTCAATGGCGCAGTCATAGGGTCTGTGAGGAGGTAACGACAGGGCCTTGGACTTACTGAAAACCGGGGCGAGGTCATGGTATTCGGGAGGGATGGCTGACAGGTCGGATGGATCCGCCTCCTGGGGGGTGGCTGACGGTGAACCTGGGGGAACAGCTGAACGGAGACAGGATAAGTGACAGGTGGTGGACCATGACTCGACGTACCTGCAGCCGGGTGGTTTCACCCGGCCCCGGACCATGACAACTTGGCAATAAACCTAATTCTGATTCTGATTCTGATGTTTGGAAAGCTTCGATGGAAGCTTTGCAGTTGTGAGCACAGTTTGTTTTCTTATTTACAGTTGTGAGCGCAGATTATTTTCCTCTTTAGGCCTAGATAATAGGTCTGTAGAATGTTAAAGTGTGTGAAACTATAGTTAAGTGCTTTTCAAAGCATAAAATGAATTTAATTTGATTGATTCTTCCATCAAGTTTATACTGTTTATGTTGAGTGTTTAAGCGCATGTAGTCCAGTATAGTGGAGATGTCTGTAACTTTCTGAAAGAATCATATTTTTGAAAAAAAAGTGATTTTTTTTTTTTCATGCTCTAAGAGGAGAAAAAACACATTTTAAAAAATGTTGGACTCAAGCTTTCATAATTCATGCATCAGAGGTTTCAACTTTAAAAATCTAAAGCTTGTCCTGTTAGAATAATGGTACAGAAATAACAACCAGAATGGCTTATAAGACAACATTTATTTAATATCAGCAAGTCAAGGTTGCTATAGACATTTGAATAATTTTCCCAAAAAATAAAAATACTAATCTAAAAGCAAAAGAGCAAAAAAAAAAAAAAAACTTCTCACCCTCTCAGTTGAACGTATCCTTTGAAATACAGGCCTCGATGAAGTAATACCTCAGTGACATTGTTTAAGCTTGCGCAACACACACAAAAGTCTTTCTTTCGCCACATTAAACGGACGCACCTTCAGTATTTGAGGACTGGATGCCCACCAAGTGGATGGAGTAAGACGCCTTCTTCTTAGCCTTTGGGACAGGAAACATTTGGTGTTTCAGTGTTTGCCAGCTGTAGCACTCCTGCAGCGGACAGCACTGTGGCTGTCCCACCTGATCCCTTTCTACCTGAACCGTCTTCGCAGCCTGACGCTGACTTCTGCCTTGAGTCTGTACGTTTCCACAACTCAGTTTATTTTGACCTTTGATGGCCTATCATGCCAATTAGGTTGCTCTCTGTGTGATGCTGACTTGTGTTAAGTAATTGAATATTTTGCCCTACATATAACTATATATTTAAAGGGTGGCCGCATTGAATCCACACTGCGAGTGTGCACGTTAATCATGCATGATTTGAGTATATGATGCACACTTTCTCTTTCACAGGCCTATTATTGTCTCCAGTGAATGCTAAGTTAGTTATCGCCATAATACGACGTTATACAAGTTAAAACAGACAACAATAATTGCAAAAGGCCTACAATTCGAGAAATTAATTATGTGCGCTTTGCACAAGAATACTCCTAAACATAAAAAATAAAAACATTTAACCTTTCCTCTAACCTTAGACGATAGAGCTGCTCAGGTCCCAGACCAGTGAAGCAAAAATTAAGTTTTCCCCTCTTGTGCGTCCTCTCAAAAAATTCATTTCAAATCAATAAGAACTTTGACTGTGTCCATCTACTACTACTTAAAAATTGACTTCTCATTCTCTAAAGGAAGAAGCTGTTGCTGTGACATCCAGAACCAGACCTGATTGCAAGATCTGCAGCGGCTTTTGCCATCAGTGTCCGGGAACAGTGCCACTTGTCACAGGTAAATTTGTCTTGATGGGCAAATGCTTTACTATTAGTGTCATAATTGTGAATAATTCCTTTAAACAATATTTTTTTTAAATATATAAATTATTTATTTTAATATTTTAATCGAAAGTATGGGCCTGTGATCAATGATTATATTGGTGAAAAAATAATTCACATTTTAAATATGACCTTAAGAGGCAAAAGTTTTTACTGTGTACCACTCATTCAAAGTCTTAAGCATTTAGGCCTTTAGGCCCCCATGCCTCTGGAAATGAATTACTGATGTTTTATTATAGTTTAGGGAATATAGATCCAAAATTTAGGTTGAAGTTGGCTGCAATAAGACTCCTTGCTATTGCCAAGGCAAATGATATTTCTCAGTGGGGTATTGATGTTATACTAAAAAGAATCCTAGAAGATATGACACTTGTGTCACGTCTGGTGTCTCGTCATGTCATGATTACCCATTGTGTACACCTGGGGTTCCCTCCTCATGTGTTTAAATAGTCCTCGTTTCCCCTTGTCTTGTGCGAGTGCGTTTTCGTCTTTTTCGTCTTTTGTCCGTCGTCTCCCCCACGCCAGGTTTGTTTTGCCATAGTCTTTGTTTTCGTCATAGTTCTGCCATAGTCACAGTTTTGCCACAGTTTTGTCAATCGTTATTTTGTTACTTTGCCTCCGTCTTGTTTGCTCATTGCTTTGTTACTTTGATCACAGTTTTCCACAGCTTTGCTTTGTACTTTGTCTGGACTCTGGTTTTTGTTACAATAAACCTTGTTTCCCCTCATCTCCGCACCTGAGTCCTCCCTTCAAGAACCACCCACCTGACAACGGTGTTAGGATTGACACCCCAAATGGTGAAATTGAGTTGTTTGGTGCAGTGATGGCCATATGTGGAGACACACTTGCCTAACATGAGATTGCTGGATTTAAACAAGGTGTTGGTTTAGCTTATAGCAAATGTAGACATTTTGAATGCTCCTTTGAGGATATGCAAAGTATTTTTGAGGAAAATAGGTTTGCTGAAAGAACTTTGGAAAATCACATCAGGCAGTGTGTTGAAAAAGATAAAGCAAGCACAGAAACATTGAAAGCATCCCTCAAAACCACTTATGGGATTAACAGAAGAAGCAGACTAGTTGATGTTCCGGCATTTGATCTGATCAAACAAACGCCACAGGATATAATGCATGTCATTTTTGAAGGTGTTGCACCAGTGGAAATAAAGCTTGTATTAAAAAACCTGAGTCTGCCAGGACAGATAGAATTAGATTAAATTAATTCAGCTACTCTAAATTTTCCTTACTCACCTCTCGACATACGAGATAAGCCATGTCCTATTAGTGTCAGTGCTTTAGCTGCTAATGACAATAAATTAAAGCAGTCATGTGGACAAATGTTGATACTTTTAAAAATCCTACCTTTTCTTTTCTCAAATTAATTGAGATAGTTCAGATTGTCCTTGCTCCTGTTATTTCTTTAGAAACTGTATTACGACTCAGACACATGATTGAGCAACATCTGCATCATTTCAAAGAACTGTTCTCTGAAGCCAATGTAATACCCAAGCAGCATTATATGTTACATCTACCAATAGGCCATAGGCTGAAGCTCAAAATGTGGCTAGAAATAGGATTTCGCTCCACTATCCTGGGGACTACTTTTCGATAGCACTTTTCCAATCTTGAATATGTACTGGAGCTGGGAAAAAAAGTTCTCCATGGGATTCCTGCCAGTATTTGAGAAAATGGATGCCAAAGGTGGCAGTTTACCCAAAAAAGTGACGATTTTGGGTCTTCTACCATTTTCAAACCCTTGTAACTTTTTTATTATTAAGCCGATCGTACTCAAATTTTTCATTCCCACAGACATTCATACTTACTCTGAGCTTCTAAAGTGGCAATGTTCTGCGTGCTTTAAGTACGGAGTTATTGTAAATGAAAACATACACTTTTGAACAACTTCACAATCTCCCAAAATGTATCTTTAATGCACATGAAAATTGCAATTCTTTGAATTTTCAATTGAAAAATTCTAATAGCAAGATATCCCTTTGTGTCTGGTTAACTAATAACTATGAAAAGTGGTGTGAATTTTATCACCTAGCAAACCAGTTACAATATAGGCCATAGGCTGAAGCTCAAAATGTGGCTAGAAATAGGATTTCGCTACACTAACCTGGGGACTACTTTTGATAGCACTTTTCCAATCTTAAATTTGTACTCAAGCTGGGAAAAAAAGTTCTCCATGGGATTCCTGCCAGTATTTGAGAAAATGGATGCCAAAGGTGGCAGTTTACCAAAAAAAGTGACGATTTTGGGTCTTCTACCATTTTCAAACCCTTGTAACTTTTTTATTATTAATGCGATTGTACTCAAATTTTTCATTCCCACAGACATTCATACTTACTCTGAGCTTCTAAAGCGGCAATGTTCTGCGTGCTTTAAGTAAGGAGTTATTCTAAATGAAAACATACACTTTTTAACAATTTCACAATTTCCCAAAATATATATTTATTGCACATGAAAACTGCAATTCTTTGAATTTTAAATTGAAAAACTATAATAGAAAGATATCCCTTTGTGTCTGGTTAATTAATAACTATTTAAAGTGGTGTGAATTTTATCACCTAGCAGACCAGTTACAATATTGGAAGCAAAATTTTCGGAAATAACAATAAAAACTAGAAGAATCTTCAAGTAAATTGATACTGTTTATTCAATGGATCTGATATCAACTTAAGCAATCATGGAATTAATGAACAAATAACAAAAATAATAGTAACAACCCCCCCACCACCACCACCACTACTCCATCCCCACACCAACAAGAGTTACTTCTTCTGTTTGTTGCAACATTTATGAATATTTACAGAGAGAATTAATCATCTTCAGAAAAACTGAGAGAGAATAAGAGCCTACATATAATTTTTCAATTACTTTTGAACAATTCTACCAAGCACTAAGCATGCCAAAGTTGATATCTCCCAAATTTTATACATGTACATATATAATTATAAAGACCGATTCTAACCATTTATAAAACTATTGACAAATGGCAATAGCAATGACAACATGATTTTGAAAAAGGGGAACATTTTCAGATGCCTCATAACAATAGGAAGAATAATAATCATAATTATTGATTATTTATAAGAACAATGGAAAGTATTAATATCACAACATTAAAAAATGAACTCTTATTTATAAGCTACAAGATTGTTTTTTTCACATTTACTGCAAAATTCAGTTTACTATGGACAAATATTCAAATTGGTTTTCAGAAATGAAATGGTTTCAATCAGCTAACCCGAGGGTTGTGAATTCACTCCTCTGAGGCAAGACATAATATGGAAATGTACAGGGAATTAAAGAAGGCACAAAGACATTTCTGTTTTTAAACAATTACTTTTGTTGGACCCAGCAAGCCTTGAGATGTTAAACTTTTTAGGATAACTTCGGGTTGTTACGACTTGAGAATTACAATAGAAAACACAAAGAAACTATGAATCATCAAAATCATAGGAGTGATAGGAGTCTCCTCCTATCACTTCCTGCAGGTGTTCCTAGAGCTGTGGAGTCTGGATCTGTGATTGGGAGTTTCCTGCTGCTCCGTGTTCCTGCTCTGCTACTACTCTGCATAGTGTTATTTCTGTCATAACTCCTATCATTATCATTACTTCAGCTGCTTTAACCAAACTCCCTAGCAAATAGAGAGTTAAAGTTCAATCATAAACCAGCTGCCAACAAATAATATCAAATACATTTTCTCTGTTTTACCAGACTGAACTGGTAGTTGGGTGACAAATTTAAAATCTAACCATTATTTGACTAATCAATTAATTGCCTATCATCACTTCAAGTTCATAATAATGCCTTTTATTATTATTGAGGCCCTACACATAGCCTTCATACACCTACTTCATAATGAAGGCTAGGGCTGGCACCAATTACACATGCATTTTTTTTTTATCAACAAATGTATTACTTTTGCTTTTGATTATAAGCCACAAACAAAGATGCTGTCTGCAAATTATCTAATCACCAGTATTTATAGTTTCTGCTTGGACCAATTTACCTTTCTTTGTCTTGTGTCCCTCGGCCAACGTGCGGTCAATTCCGTCAATACACTTACGGGCACATACGACCAGCTTCTTCCACGAACAACTGTTAGTGGCTGTGTCCGTTCTTTGTCTACCGATTATATGTGTGTGATGCATATATAATCCTCATTTTTCTTGCGTTTTTTGTCTGATCAACGGGAACGCGCTGCTCCATGGGAGCAGCCATGTTTTTTGTTGTTCTTCTGTTCTCGCCTCTGAATGGGAGAGCGCACCTGAAGGACGCGCTCTGATTGGCTAACGGCTAGGCGGCTTGATTCGAGCGTACTGTACCGGTGTGATCAGGCTACCGATATAGTTACATTTTTAAGTAATTATTGTAAAAATACTGGCGCAAAGCGATTGGAGAACTTTTGGTTATGAGCTCAAAATGCACTAAGGATTTTTTTGCAGGTGTCATTTAATAGTCCCTAAATAGGTGTAGCGAACTTGAACGATACAGGCTTCAGCCTATGGCCTACAAGCCAAATCATATCTCTTGGTCCATTAATTAGAAGTATGTGTATGCAATTTGAAGCTAAGCACAGTTATTTTAAGCAGTGGGCTTCTAAGTTCAATTTAAAAAATGTCTGTAAATCACTTGCAGTTCCTTGAATGCATTGAGCATCCATTGAGCATCCAATTTTTGCTAGTGAAAGAGAATTGGGGCCTGTCTCAGCTGTCAAAAATATTGATTATGTTAAGAGAAAAGTTAAAGATTTTTTAGGTGTAGAGGTGTCTCAGCGAAATGGTACATTCTCAATGGCAATAAGTACATTAGTGGGAGATCTATGATTATTGTGGATGTTATGGTGCTTTCCCAGTGTTCGGACTGATAAAAGATATCTTTGTGATTGATTCCTCTTATGTTGCTTTTGAGTACCAGCGTTATGAGACACTGAATTTGAGTCCAGAACTGCTGGCATATAAGGTGGCAGTTCCCAATGTTGCCCAGGTGTAACGCTAATTGAGGCTAGGCGCCTGACTACGGCCAAATTAAACTAGTATGACAATCAGAAAGGTTCGACTGAGGAGCCCGTGTGTGAATAAACACAATCCAACAAAAAGTACAATTGAGTTATTGTATTTTAATGTTACTTTTGTTTAATATATATATATTTAGGAAGGTATTGAATAATAATAATAAGATTTTCTTATAACCGTAAACAATAACCACAACAAAAACAACAATAACAAACAAACAATTGAACCCTTATGAGACAAGTCCGGGTTTTTCTCTTTTCTTTTTTCCTTTTAAGGTGACTAATGCTTCACCAACAATAGTCCGAGGGGTGTTAGTCCATGATCCGAAAGAAAGTAAAAATGAGAGAATTAAAGGTCCAGGGGGGGAGGAGAAAAAAAAAAGTCGGTTCCAGTAAATCCTACCGCACGGCTGCGGTGATCCAGTGGTAGCTCGCCATCCTGACTTGAACCCGTGGGGAAAAAACCTGACCGTCAAGTGGTGGTCACAACGCAATCAAAGCAATCCTTCGGCTGCTTTAATTTGAGTCAACGTCGCAATATAATTCGGCGATTTGGTGAAACGCCAACGGAAACAGCTAGCCACAGCCACAGCAGCAACAGCAATGGAGATCAGAGCTCACCCTTGACCCGGAACTTAAAGGGTGGCTTCCCGTTTGACCCGCCAAAATAAAATATGAATAATTATTTTATGCAGGTTACACAGGCTACATAATTTGTGCATGAACTCATTGACTATATTTCCTGTTTTTCAGTTAGTTTCAAGGAACAATGCCAATAAGATATAGACTTTGTGATATTATTGCCCGCAGAAGTAGACATTAAAATGTAGGAATGATGAGGGATGCATTGATGTATTGGGTGATCAAGTTTGCTTGTTTCCAGTTTTGTGTTTCCTGTGCCTGTTTTGTTAACAAACATTGGTTATCAAACAATTCCATGGACTGTATGGTGAGTTGTGGTGAAGGCTCTATAATTTATCCTGACATTGTCTGAACATACTTGAAGTCAGCAATAATAAACTCTTTTTCTTTCAGATGCCTTTTGTGTGACTCTTGAATCAAGAACTTGAGATTGTTACTAAATCTTAAAACAAGCTTTATTTTCATGAGAATTTGGGGGACAGATGTAAAAGATCTTATTTTAATAGTTATTTACCTCATTTTAAGATTTAATGCCTATTTGAGACAAAAAAGATAAGGTTGTGCTTGATTTAAGATTATAATGTAGAGTTGGACTCTTAAAATAAGAAATTCACTCTTAAAACAAGATAAATTATCTAACACTTCTAAATCTATTTTTTTTTTATCTTGATAAGAATAAAATAATTTGCAGTGTGAGTACTTTGTTCAACCTGGGTAAACAGAGGATGCTGTACATGCAGCTGAAAGTTCAATGGCATTTCATACTGTGAAACACCACAACGGCTACAGGTCCACAGATTACACCAGTACCTTGCTAAAAAAAAGCATTTTTAGACTCTGATATTGCTAAATGCATATTGTTGAGCAACCAAAAACTGCTGGGAAAGCTCAGAATCACAGCAAAATATGTATGGGAGGACAATGAGGATGAGGGAAAAAAGCAGAATGTAGAAGAAAGCAGGAAGTAGAAGAAAAAAACAGGAGGAAAAAAAGCAAGATGAATAAAACAACTGTTAAAAGTATAGATCATTTTTGTTTGTTGAGTTTGTATCGTTGTCATTTCTTATTTTAAGAGGGGGTTAAAAGGTAATTTGTTGAAGTTGTATTTTCTAACACATAAAAGGTCTTATTTAGAACATTTTTTATTTTATTTATGAGTAAAGGAAGGTTATAATTTTGTTACTGGTTGTTACAGATTTTGTTTTACTACCCAAGTCCTTTTTTGTACCATTGAGGTATAGTAAAGTATGTTCATGAACATCTGAGAAGCCTGTCTGAATCGTCTCGAGGCTGGGCAAAGTGTCCTCCTTTCTGGAAATCAAAATATGGTCACCCTAGGCTAGGCTCTCATTTGGTAGCTGTTAGCCAACCAGAGTCAAGCACATTAGCATGTTGAATATTCATGAGTACTGGCGCAAATCCAGCAGGCGTTCTATAACATGTTAGAATGGCTTGAAACAAGGTAACCGAGGCATTTTCTCCACAAAAAATGTTACAGAGTCCATTCTAGAACTTCAGACATAATCACAAAAGTAATGAAATACGTGTGGCATGGCACCTTGGTAGGTTCAGTCCATGGTTTTAATCTCAGCTTTTAGAATGACAAATCAGACACAATTAGGCTTAATTAGTTTTTAAAAAAATAGTTAAAATGACAGAGAATTGGAAACCACATTCAAAGCAACAAGTCTAAAATCTAAAATCAATTTTCAAGTTCTTAAAACTTTCAGATTTATTATTCTTTATGTTTAGAGTGAAATGTGTTTTTTTAAATCATATTTTTTAAACCTGGGCAAGTAAATAAAGATGCTTTTACAGTAATGGTCAGACAACACTACACACAGTAGAAAGTAGATTTAATAATAATAATATTAATGAAACATTTAATGATTTGAAAATGACACATATAGTATTTTATATTCTCATCTTTCATTGAAAAAAGTCTGTGCTTTGATTACACCAAAGTCTAAGTGCACTGTTTTTAGAGAACATTGTAGTTTAAAATTTCTGCTGTCTGGAAGCAGCTGTGACTCCTGTTCATTATTCAGAGCATCAAACACACTCACTACACATTTAAACTGTAAAACGTCTCATTAACTCAAATGAAAAAAGCTTATTAACAACTTAACCTTAATTTAGTGACATATATTTACATTTTGGGGTTAGTTTGAATGACAGAGATCACAGAAAAGCGTCTGTGCCGACAGCAGAGATGCAGCATCAGCACCGGTCGGATGGTCTGGTCCCTGAGACCATAGACCAGGGAGCTCAGACATTTGGGGAGGATGATGAGACAAATGTAGAGAAAAACCTGGATGTTTATGGCCAGAACCCGTTCCAGGTGAGGGGTCACAGCGATGAGCAGCGTGCCGTGGATCAGCGAGGACATGCTGAGGCCCAGCTGCAGCAGATGCAGCAGCAGGGTTCTGCCAGCCTTCTTCGCTGAACCTCTGTCGGAGGAGGCCGACCTGGCCGCCACGCTGATACCGATGTAGCAGAACGAGACGGCGGCGGCTGCCGATGCAAACAGAAAGTAGGTGGACGCTTTGTCATACAGGTCGGCGCTCTCATTCAGAAACACGCTGCTCCTGCCGCAGTAGTCTGACATCTGCATGGACTGCACGTCTGCAAAGTGCATGTTCAGCATCAGAACCAGCTGGATCAGGCAGTTCACAGACCCAAAGCCCCAGAGCACACAGACGGCCACGCTGGTGTTCCTCAGGGTGATGACGGCGGCGTGCCTGAGCGGGTGGCACACCGCCACATATCTCTCAATGCACATGAGCATCAGCGTGAGGAAGGAGACGCCGTGGGGGAGGCTGTAGAGGGCTGAAAGGGTGGCGCACAGCGGGTACAGCATCTTCAGTCCACAGGCTGACAGCAGGAACATGGACTGGTTGTGAGCCAGCTGCACAGTGTCTGCCAACAGCAGGTTAGACAGCAGAACATAACGGGAGGTCTCTGTGAACACCGGTTTGCTCCTCAGAGTGAACAACATGGTTCCGTTGATGAGGAGGAACGCACAGCAGGGCAGCGTTGTCACAACGGACAGCAGCACGATCCCGAGCAGGCCCTGGAGCTGGACGCCAGCCGTGCTGTTGGTCAGAGGTCGATTGGTGTCTGACATCTTAGACAGACATTAAGAGCTGAGAGCAGGAGAATAACTTCATCATCAGAAATGTTAGCAGGAGCAGCAGCAGATAAGGTGACCTGTCAGACCCACAAACAGCCCCGCTGGCTGGGCCAGAGCTGCCGTGCTTCTCTGAGCTGCCACAGCATTTATGCGCTCCGCCCTCACACCTCCCATCCCAACCCTACAGAGAAACCAGGCATTCAGCATCGGAGGGGGGGGGGGATTCTATGGTATCACACCACTGTGTTTGTGTGAATGGAAGCAGCAAAGGCAACATTATAAAAACCAAAAATATAATAATTTCATGCAATGCTCAAATAGCTATATGCAGTTAGCCTAGTTAGCTTAGCCTTGTTGCTAACCCAGAGGTTTACATTTGCACCTGACCTCAGTCGTTCCTTTTGGCATTATTTTTGTTTCTCTTGGGTACAAAGAATAACCTCAAACAATAAAGATTTAGATGTTTATTTCTGTTTTTGCATTTAGACGCTTTTATCTAGAGTGACCGAAAATGCAGACACAACATCACATTTGGCATCAGGCTAACAACAAGCTACACAGTCAGACTCTGTTAGAGGCCAGAAAGTAGTCAGAAAGTACAGAAAATGTGGTAGAGGTCTTAGACTTTCTTTATTCCTTTATCTTCCACAGGAGGTGAGATAGGCCTTTACTCTTACAATGTTTAAATCCAGGCTGAAAACATGTATTTAGCTGTGCATATGAAAACACTTTTTTATCTAATAAATTTATTTTGTTGATTTATTTTCTTTCTTTGTTTTCTTCTTTTAAACTATTTGTAAAGCACTTGTAATAGTCTTGTACATGAAATGTGCTGTGAAATAAACCGTCCTTGCCTTTATGGTCATTGTACAATCACATGTATCTTGGCAACTGGGTGCAACTAGGCCTGTATGTAGGATTGGTTATAAATAATCTGTGGATACCTAAACTATATAATTATAAAAATAAAAGTGCTGAATAGTTTTATTTAGTCTAAAAGATATATGGAGTTGGGATCTGAATATAAACAATGTGAGTTATAAAAGAGACAGTGTGGTAGCAGCAGAGAATGAGACTAAGTTTGAAATAAAAAATCTGGAGTGCTGCAAGTGGATGGTTTATGTTTCATCACTTTCTGTCTACAAGAATCAGAATAAGGAAAGAAAACATGTCATTTTACAGTTTCCCCCTGCCTTTTCCCTCTCTACACTTAAAAAACATTAATCCCTGTCGTGGTGCATCAGGCTTTTGATGCTATTTTGCCGCCACCTGTTCTGTCCATGTGTTTTCTACATGGTCCCAGTGAGGCTGAAGGTCTGCTTTCCCCAACTGTTCTAAAATGTAATAATCACTAGATCATGAAGAAATTAAGTGGATTAACTAGGTTTTCTTACTTTACTGGAACATGAATGTATTTTTGATCTGTATCTGTTTTGGACACAAACAGCACGGTGGTGTGGTGGTTAGCACCATCGCCTCACAGCAAGAGGGTCCTGGGTTCGGGTCCCTGAGGGAACCAGGACCTTTCTGTGTGGGGTTTGCATGTTTTCCCTGAGTCTGCATGGGTTCTCTCCCACTGTCCAAAAACCTGAATGTTAGGTTGATTGGACATTCTAAACTGCCCATAGGAGTGAGTGTGGTGGTTGTTTGTCCTTGTCTGTCTCTGTGTTGCCCTGCAATAGACAGGCGGACTGTCCATGGTGGACCCCGCCTCTCACCCCATTAGGGAATAAGTGGTTACGATAATGGATGGATGGACTTAAAGCTGGTTTGCCGCTCTCTTGTTTTGTCCATCGATTTTCGTAAACCCTTATTCTCTAATGGGGTCGCGGGGGAACTGGAGAAGCCACGCAGACATAGGGAGAACATACAAACTCCAAACAGAAAGGTCCTGGTTCCCATGGGTAATTGAACCCAGAACCCTCTTGCTATAAGGTAATGGTGCCAACCACACCACTTTACCACTCTCTCTTGTTTTGTCCACAGCGTAAATAATGTGCAGGAGATTCTCCACTTAAACAGCTTATTTTTGGCCTGCGTAGTCATTACCCAGCCTCCAGTTTGACAACATGGAGCTGCATTGTTCCATTAAATTGAAAAATTTAGAGAAAAAAGTCATAAGTGAAAGTTGAGAAAGTTAGAAGGGTCCTGAAGGCTCCAAAGATGCGCGTTGTTGTTGTTCTCTGAGAAGATTCCACTCAGCTGAGCATTTCCCCTGAGGCCTCATTTAGATGCATTAATATTCAACACATTTTCATTACTGCTCCCAGTAAACACTGACCCCACTGATCCATCCCGGTGATGAGTCAGCGTGAAAGTTGTATTTCTGGGGCTCAAAGTTCAGCTTTACCGTCTAAACTTAAAAATAAACTTTTGTTTGGCTCGTCACCATGTTACAGATCGGTTTATGACCATTCTTTTCTGACCCTTTCTTAATAAGGTTGAAACAAAATGAGAAGGTGGCTTTTTAAACACTTTTTTGGTATTTGCTAGTTAGTATTTATTAAATTTGTCCCCCCTTTATTTTTTTAATCACATCTCTTAAGAGGCACCACCTTTATCCCATTCAGTTTGCATCAAATCAAAAGTACCAGGTTTTGGGTTTTCTGTTCACCTTGGTAAAACTAATGGCTGTAATGGAAATACTGTTTTTTAGCCCTCTGAGGTGTTATAGGACTCAGAGCTCAGACACTTGAGGGCTCATTTAAATGCATTAAGCATTCAGTCTTTGTAAATATTGACTGCTTGTGTTCACAGTTTGTCCCAACGTTTCATCAGAAAACAACTTCAGAATAAAACTGCTGATTGTACTAAAAATTCTAAACTCTGATAAATGTATCATTATTTTTTATGAAGATATTCAATGACTGAATGCATTTTAAAGCAGTTAGATAGAATTTCAAATAAAGTTTCTGTTGTGTCTGAACAAGCAAAGACACCTGAGTCTTGAACGGCTTAAGCTAAGTTTGGGTTTTATCTTAACCCTGGTCAACGTCTGTAAGTCTAAAGTCGGTTCAAAGTTCTCAGGATGGGACCCCTGAAATGAGCTGCTTTTGAAATAGTCACCTTTGTGCAGTGAATATGCTGTTAAAATCCAGCTGAGTTTTTGCTGTCTCACTGGATCTGCCGGCCAAGGTGGGCCCAGGCCGGGATCTGATCCAGCTCTGATCCGACCCCAGGTGTGCCCGGGCCGGGATCTGATCTGGCTCTGATCAAGCCCCAGTTGGGCCTGATCCATGCCAGACTCTGATCCGGCTCTGATCTGACCCCAGACTTAGCTCTGATTGGATATTTTTTGTATTTTATTTCCAAATGGAATCTGAATTAAATGTTTAGGCTTCACAAGTTTCACACTTGAGTGAAAAACCAGCAGAAAGGTGCTGATTTAATCTGTTGAATTCAGCTTAATTCAGACATAAAAAGTTAAAGGCCACTTTCAATGTTTCACTCAAAGTGAGCAAAGGTGTTCTTTTGTGTTTTTCTGTTGATTTTCAGGTTCACATTCAGGAAACTGGCTGTTTAGGGTTTGTGTAGCATTTGTGTGTTTCATACAACAAAAGCTGGAACACAAACTGAACGTTTTCCACATTAATGCAGGCAGAAAATGGCTTTTCACAGAGATTCAGTGTTTTGAATGATGATGAAACCTCCTCATTAACTGTCACCCAAACACCACCAACAAGGATTCAGAAGCCTTTTCAGAACAAACAAGCCGGAGCTGTTTGTCTCCACTGAGGTTCTGGTGCTATGTGACCCACTATGGCCTCTAATAGAGACTGATGGGAGCATCTAATCCTCCAAATGTCTACCTGAAACATCCATCAGTAAGATTCTGAATATTTAATGGAGCTAAATGAAGTCTCAGGAGACTCGGTCATGTGTGGGCTTCCTCTCTGGGACACGTCCACAGCAACAAAAACACACCTATGAGAAGTTAGCACGATCTCAACTTTCATGTGTTCTGAGTATCTGTCATAGCAAAGAAAAAGTAAAGCCATCAGTAGAAGAAGAAGAAAAAGCTGACACCCGTCCACATGCACAGGATTTTTTAAAGGGGAAAGAAAGTTAAAGACAATCATCCCTATCCATCCATTATCGTTACCGCTTGTTCCCTAATGGGGTCGCAGGGAGAACTTGAGGCGATCCCAGTGGTCAATGGGTGAGAGGCGGGGTACACCCTGGACAGTCCGCCAGTCCATCGCAGGGCCACACACAAGACATACTGGGACAAACAACCACGCACACTCATATAGTTAAAAACAATCAGATGCACTGAAAGGCTGAGCAGAAAATAACTACATATTCACCATGTTTTCTTCCTCAGATGTTCAATTCAGTTCAAAAAGCTTTATTCATCCTGAGGGACAATGCCAGGTGAAAATGAATAAATTGAACTAAAGTAGTGAACAGTTGTTTAAAGTGACCAGTGATTAATTATAGCAGCTTCATTAATTACAACAAATAAGTAATACACAGATAAACTAGAAATGATGAGTGATATATTGATAAAGTGAAGAAGAAGAGCGATCAGCTTTTAACGTCGGGGAATATTCCAGCAAAGTTCCATCTCATAACCTGCTTAGTGTGTTCCCTCTTCCAGCAAAATGCTAAAAATCAAAAGCCATGGAAAATAAATGGAAAGGTTAAATAATACATTTACCTTTGTTTTGATTAAAAACACTAACATCTACCCTTAAAGGTTTTATATGTACATGCGCCCCCCCCCCTTCCCCCAATTGTTCTAAAATGAAATGACCACTAGATCATGAAGAGATTCAGTGGATCAACCAGGTTTTCTTATTTTACTGGAACATTAATGCATTTTTTTATCTGTATCAATGGAAATAGAAAAAGTGTCTTCTTTCTGATTAAGAAGAAAGTAAGGCTCAGAAATAGATTTTCCTGTTTCAAACCACTATGGATTACAAATTAACAAATCTATAACCCTGGTTTGCAGCTTTCTTGTTTTGTCCGAAATGTAAACAATGCGCTGTAGATTCTCCACTTAAACAGCTTATTTTTGGCCTGCGTGGTCATTATCCAGCCTCCATGTTTGACAACATGGAGCTGCATTGTTCCATTAACTTGAAAAATTTAGAGAAAAAAGTCATAAGTGAAAGTTCTGAGAGTTAGATGAGTCCTGAAGTCTCTAAAGATGCGTGTTGTTGTTGTTCTCTGAGAGGATTCCTCTCAGCTGAGCATTTCTCCTGAGGCCTCATTTAGATGCATTAATATTCAACACATTTTCATTACTGCTCCCAGTAAACACTGACCCCACTGATCCATCCTGGTGATGAGTCGGGGTGAAAGGTGCATTTCTGAGGCTCAAAGTTCAGCTTTACCGTCTAAACTTAGAAATAAACTTTTCTTTGGCTTGTCAGCATGTTACAGATTGGTTTATGATGTTTGATTTTTACCACCATTCTTTTTTTACCCTTTCTTAATAAGGTTGAAACAAAATGAAAAGGTGGCTTTTTAAACACTTTTTTGGTATATACTAGTTAGTATTTATTACATTTGTCCCCCTTTTATTTTTTTAATCACATCACCAGCTTTTTAAAGTTTTCCCATCCAGTTTGCATCGAATCAAAAGAACCAGGTTTTGGGTTTTCTGCTCAACTGATTATTGTTAGGGGTGTAGATTAGACAGTAGAAGTTTCTTTCTGAGCCGCTTTTGAAATATTCACCTTTGTGCAGTTATAGAGAAAATCCAGCTAAATTCTGCCGGTCAAGGTGGGCCCAGGCCGGGATCTGATTTGGCTGTGATCAAGTCCCAGGTGGGCCTGATCCAGACCAGGCTGTGATCCGGTTCTGGTCCGACGCCAGACTGGGCTCTAATTGGATTTTTTTATTTTAAATAAAATCTGAATTAAATATTTAGGCTTCACAAACTGGAGTGAAAAACTCTACAGAAAGGTGTTGATTTAATCAATTGAATTCAGTTTAATGCAGCCATAAAAAAGTTAAAGGCAACTTTCAATGTTTATGTTTATGTTTATGTAAAAGCGTCTGCTAACGCTTTTATCCAAAGCGATTTACAAAGTAGACACAATTTTACAGTTTTCATCAGTATGACAATAAGTTCTCTAGAGGAAAATCCCTGGTCAGAATCAGTGGTGACAGGAAGAGAGAGAGAAGGAGTGCAGAAAGAGATTTAGAGGGGTACAGAGGTATGGGTAAGAGTCAGGACCAGAGATGCTCTTTGGACAGGTGGGTTTTTAAGAGTTTCCTAAAGATAGAAAGGGACGCTGTTGTTCTTGTAGCGCTTGGTAGGTCATTCCATCATCTTGGAACAACACTTGCAAACAGTCTGGACTGTCTTAAGCGTGGTGTGGGCACTTCTAGACCACAATCCATTGATGACTGGAGTGACCAAGTTTTGACATAAGCCTTTGCAAGAGGGTTTTCCACATTAATGCAGGCAGAAAATGTTTTTTGACACAGATTGAGCGTGCTGAATGATGATGAAACATCCTCATTAACTGTCACCCAAACAGCACCAACAAGGGCTCAGAGGCCTTTTCAGGACAAACAATCCAGAGCTGTTTGTCTCCACTGAGGTTCTGGTGCTATGTGACCCACTATGTCCTCTAATAGAGACTGATGGGAGCATCTAATCCTCCAAATGTTTACTGGAAACATCCATCAGTAAGATTCTGAATATTTAATGGAGCTAAATGAAGTCTCAGGAGACTTGGTCATGTGTGGGTTTCCTCTCTGGGACACGTCTACAGGAACAAAAACACACCTATGAGAAGTTAGCACGATCTCAACTTTCATGTGTTCTTGTGTTCTGAGTATCTGTGATAACAAAGAAGAAATTAAAGCCATCAGTAGAAGAAGAAGAAAAAGATGACATCCGTCCACATGCACAGTATTTTTTAAAGGGGAAGAAAAGTTAAAGACATTCAGGTCCACTGAAAGGCTGAGCAGAAAATAAATACATATTCGCCATGTTTTCTTTCTCAGTGTCAGGATGGGTGGTTTGTTTTTTGTTTTGGAAGCTTGCCGCTTCCCACTTCCTCCACCAGATGCCGCCTAGGAGCAGAGCCCCTGGAGAAGCGTGCGGTCGAACCCTGGGACACACCTGCGGCGCATTTGCTGACGGAGGCTGGGAATATTTAAGAAGCGGCGAACTGACACTTCCTTGCCTGAGTGTTTGTTTACCTTGGTAACAAATCGTTCCCGAGTAAGGCCTTCAGTGTTTTCTCACGAAATAATCGCCTCCTGTGCCTGTTCCCTCTCGTCAGGTCTCCCTGGATTCCTCCGGAGTTTTCTCTGAAGAAAAGGTTCGGTGGATCGTTTGCTTCGGACCACGGTCAGCCGCCCACTCGCTCCCCACCCGGTCTGTCTTGCCTGTCCGCCCTCCAACGGTTCACTGCCTCTCCACGCCGCCCTGGTCCCCTCCGTTCAATAAACTTTATTAGTGCTTACAAACGCGTCTCCTGACTGTGTTCGTGCATGTGGGTCCGTAAACTGGAACCAAACATGACACTCAGATATTATTAAATTCAGTTCAATAAATGAATAGATATAACTAAAGTAGTGAGCAGTCTGGGTGGAACGGTGGTGTGATGGTTAGCACCATCGCCTCACAGCAAGAAGGTTCTGGGTTTGTGTACTGGGTCCCCAGTACCTTTAGCATGTTCACCCTGTGTCTGTGTAGGTTCTACAGCTTCCTCCCACTGTCCAAAAACCTGCATGTTAGGTTGATTGGACATTCCAAATTTGTCGGGGTGGCCCTGCAATGGACTGGCGGACTGTCCAAGGTGTACTCTGCCTCTTGCCCATTGACCACTGGGATAGGCTCCAGTTCTCCCCGCGACCCCATTAGGGAATAAGCATTGACGATAATGGATGGATCGTGAGCAGTGATTAATTATAGCAGATTCATTAAAATACAACAGATAAGTAATACACAGAGAAATACAAAATTCTACGTGATAAAGTGTCCGGCCTTTAACGTTCTAACAAAGCTCCATTTAATAACCTGTTTGGTTTGTTTCCTCTTTCAGCAAAATGCTAAAAATCCTTTGACAATAAATTGACCAGTTAATTGATATGTTTACTTAAATAAAAACTAACATTTTCCATATGTTTTATTTTTGTGAAGGCCACACTCTGAATTCAGCTATAGCTCTTTAACGAAAAAAGTTTAAACTCTAATAAATGTATCATTATTTTTTATAAAGATTTTCAATGACTTAATGCATTTTAAAGACTGTCTCCATCAGTTAGACACCTGAGTCTTGAACGGTTTCAACAAAGTCTGGCTCTGATCAAAGTCTGTAAGTCCAAAGTCGGTTCTGAGTTTTCAGGATGCGACCCCTGACATGAAGATTGACTATTGTTGGGGCACAGTAAAAGACAGTAGAAGTGGCTCTCTGAGCTGTTTTTTAAAAATTCCCCTTTGTCCAGTAAATAAACAAAGCCCGAAAATTCTTGTTCATATAAACTTTTTTTACAAGATGTATATTCTAATTGGGGTTTCTCTATTTTTTATTTGCGGGTCGTATGAGGATCTATTCTATATCTGCCGGAGAGTTTTTAAGCCCAACTCTTTCTTTTGTCCTATACTTGTCCAATTTCCTCAAATGTTTTAAGGACTCATTGCACAAGTTTTCAGCTAGCTCTATTTCCACTTTAAACTGCTGCTTGGCTGGGCTAGACACAAAACTGTCTCATTCCCTTGATTTAGAAACCCTTTTTCCCAGAAGGATTCAGTGGCAAAAGAAAACACAAAGTGGACTGAAAATTATTTTTAAAAAGCAAGCTCAGAGACAGTTGAATATTTTGCATGGGGTATATTGAGTGCAGCTCCAGGCTTTGGCCCTGCGGCCCTGAGGAGGAATCAGAAAATGGCTTCCTCAGTGGCCCAGTAACAGCTGGTTTGTGCATAGCAGGAGGAGGGATTTGAGCTTTGGTTGGAGATGAATCCAAACATGATAGGTTTGTGTTGAACATGCTGTTGTGACGCTGTGCTGACGTAAACTGGGTGTGAGGACTGAGCTCATCTTAATTTATGAGGGTGGATAAGCTGCTCTTCAGTCCTGCAGGGTGACCATCCTGCTGCATTTCTGCATGATCAGGAGGCTGATGTGTGCATATGTAAGCTGACCCTCATGACTGGAAGGCAGACAGCCGGACTTTTTGTAGGTTCATAGATGCGATCCTCTCTGAGATGTCGACCCCGACTGTGGTTAATGTGAGTGGGGCTGGGCAGTACCAGGGCCCCCTGGAGAAGGCCCTGTTCTCCACTCTGACCACGCTGCCCTGCTGCGTCTTCCTCTGCATCAATGGCACGATGCTGTTCACCCTGCGCAGCAAGCGCCTGTTCTGTGAGACCTGCCGATACGTCCTGCTCTTCAACCTGCTTCTAGCAGACACCGCTCAGATGGCCCTGAGCCAGTTGCTCTACCTTTTGGCTGTTTGCGGGCAGACGCTGTCCTATCCGGCCTGTGGGGCTCTGACCTCCCTGGCTAACCTCACCACTGTAATCTCCCCGCTCACGCTGGTGCTGATGGCCCTGGAGAGGTATGTGGCGGTTTGCTGGCCGCTGAGGCACCCTGCAATCGTCACCATGGGGAACACGGCTCAGGCTGTGCTGCTGGCCTGGGCCTTCAGCACGCTCAACATCCTCATCAGAGGACTCCTGCTGTTAGAGTTCCCTTTCCAGGACCTGCCAGATTTGCAAATGAGAGGATTTTGCTCCTACATGGCCATGCTGCTTGGTCCTGTCTCTGACCAGTATGACAAAGCTTTCACTAGCTTTTTGTTTGCCTCCTCTGGTCTGGCAGTAGTTTTTACCTATGTGGGTGTCATCATAGCCGCAAACTCGGCGTCCACAGACAAAGCAAAAGCCTGCAAAGCCCGCAACACGGTGCTGCTGCACCTTTTTCAGCTGGGCCTCAGTCTCTCCTCCACCATTTACAACCCGCTGCTCGGAGCTCTCGCTAGGGTCCTACCCAGACTAGTGTTCATGCGCATCCAGAATGTTTTATATGTCTGTATTTTCATCTTCCCTAGATGTCTGAGCTCTCTCATTTATGGCATCCGAGATAAGAGCATCAGGCCCGTCCTCCTGTACAATCTGTGCTGCCACCTAAAACTCTCCCATAAACCAGCTGGTGTGGCTCCTGCTGCAGGATGAGGTGGAAATAACATGTTTTCTATGAGAAACCAACTGAAGTTAATTTTGTTTCCCCAATTTTGTTTCTGTCCGATTAGACTCACAGGCTATTGTAAGTTCTTAGCTCCTCTTGTTTTTGGGTTATTTGGGGTTGATTGTGCAGTTTTTAGTTTGTATATTAATGCACAGTTTGAAGATTGCTGACTCCTGTTTTCACTGCGGATCTTCTACTGATGATTATGATGATGATGATGATGATGATGATGATGATGATGATGATGATAATGATGATGATGATAGGTTCCATTATTACAGTAAATCCTGCATATGAAACCCCTTGTGGAGCATTCACTGAAATACATTGAAATTCACGAAACACTAATTCAGGTTTAGACAGTCCATTGTGTGTCTAAAATAAGTACAAAAGATATGCATGGATAAAAAAAACACAAACTCTAGTGAACATTTGATTAATTGATTGATTTATAGGTTAATAAGAAATATGCCTTCAAAAGCATCGCCGCACAGAATTTGTAACATCCACTCCTGACCCTAACCCGACCTGATCCTGGCTGATTTCTGATTGATCAGAGCATCTGACCTCACCGGCTGTGAAGTATTCTGAAACTCGATTGACTGACTGACTGTTTTAGATTCCAAAAGTCTGCTCATCTAAACATGTTTAGGTAGTTAATGAAGGATTAATCCAAAATGTTCCTTCAAGCTGAATTTGAATTCATAGTTGCATAAATGTGACCTTTGCACCTTTGCATAATATTATTTATTATGAAGGGACAAGATAGAAAATCCAAATGAAACATGAAAAAAAAAAATTTCTAAATAAAATACAGTATGGTTCTGGAGAGGAGGGTCTGTCAGATAGTCGAATCTCGGATTGAGGAGGAACAGTGTGGTTTTCGTCCTGGCCGTGGAACACTGGACCAGCTGTATACCCTTGGCGGGGTCCTGAAGGGTGCATGGGAGTTCTCTCAACCACTCCACATGTGTTTTGTGGACTTGGGGAAGGCGTTTGACCGTGTCCCTTGGTGTATCCTGTGGGGGATGCTCCTGGAGTATGGGCTAGCGGGCCCTTTGTTACGGCTCGTTCAGTCCCTGTACGACCGGAGTCAGAGTTTGGTTCGCATTGCCGGTAGTAAGTCGGATACGTTTCCGGTGGGAGTTGGACTCCGCCAAGGTTGCCCTATGTCTCTAGTTCTGCTCATAACTTTTATGGACAGGATTTCTAAGCCAGGCTGAGGTGTTGAGGCTGTACGTCTTGGGGGCCTTAGGAACGCATCTCTGCTTTTTGCAGATGATGTGGTCCTGTTGGTCACTGGAGCGATTCATAGCTGAGTGCGAAGTGGCTGGGATAAGGATCAGTGCCTCCAAGTCCACACTGTAATGCACAGATGACACACCTAATGTCAGGGTGAGAGACTAAATGTGAGAAAACAGAGATGAGCCTGGACACAGATTCAGTTCCCTCTCTAATATGATGCTCTCTTACCAAGGAAAAGCTGAGTATAGATGTGTTCATGTAGTAGATTTAGTACAAATAAAAATGAAAAGTAACTGAAAAAGCCTTCCAGGTGGACAAAAATGTAGGATAATCAGACGATCACATGAATTCAATTTAAGATCCACGTCAGAATCTGAAGTTTTGCTTTGAGTGAGCAGCTCCATCACAGCTGGATGTTTCCAGCAAAGCTCTTTGCTCTCAGGCTGCAGGTCTACTGGTGGTTCCTGACTTTTTAAAGCAGAATGGGATGCAGAGCCTTCAGGTATCAGGCCCTCCTCTGTGGAACCAGTCTGGGTTTTGGGAAGCAAACCCCTTTGAGCAGTGGTGGGCCGTCAGGGCCTGCAAGGCCTTCTCTGCTGGCCTAAGAAAATATCTGAATCACAGACTGATGTTAATTATATTTTGTCCATGGAAACTTATTAAATATCTCTAAATGGTCTGTCCGCTTCCTTTCATAGCTTTTCCCCTGGTTGTGCTGCTTCCAGACATGCATTTTCATATAAAAGCCTTTAATCCAATCACATTGCATCATTTGTTGCTAGGCAGGGTCAAAGTCAAAGATGTCTGCCTGGAGGCCTTCACAATCCGTTGTGCGGGCCCCCCTAACAGAAAATACATGTCAACATGTTAAACTGTTGCTTCAACCAATCAGATTTTAAGTTGGTGACACCAGGGCCTTCTAGCAAGCCTAAGGCAACGTCACCGTATTCACATCAGCTGATTGGATAGTCAGCTAGCGTACCAGCCAAAGCTAGCAAACTAACCGAAATATAGTTGTGTAACAACACAATGGCTGAAGGAGGAGAAGAAATTGATTTGGTGGCAGAGTTACTGTCTAGGCCATTTTCAAGACAGAGTAAAATTAAGTGTGTAAAAGTTTAGGATTTTTTTTGTTTATGTTGGTGTGTGTGTGTGTCACAGCTGTAGCTGCAGGTAGAAGACTTGTGCACCCCTGATCTTTAGACTGTATTTTAAGCCATCCGATATTTGGATCGGATCGGCCGCCGATATTTGCAAGATAAAGCATAACGGCCGGCTTGAGAAAATGCCGATCCAGACTCCCGATCCATTTCTTTTTAAAGCATCTCCTAACCCACAAGTCTGTGTCCTAACCATTAAGTGGACATAACAGTAAATCCCTGTTTAATAAGTGTCAGGGTTAAATCCAAAACATTATTAAAAACACAATGCAGGAGAAAACAGACTCAGAGACGTTACTCTTTAGACTTGCAAGGAGAGCAGCGGAGCCTTTACAATCTCCACCATACTCTGACCAGACTCCGCCGCCTCCTCTCTTTTTATTAAGGAATGTCCCCTACGTTACATGGACGTGCAGCCTCGAAGGGATGAGAACACACAGGCTGCACGCAGGTGTAGCTGAATATTACATTGTATCCAACATTATATCCAAGCTCCTTATCATGGTACAGTCAGGCGCTTCAACGGGTGGGAACCGAGGTTTATCATGGTACAGTCAGGCGCCTCAATGGGTGAGAACCGAGGATCTTGGCCTTCTCACACTTCTGTTCTCAGCTGCTGTTTTGCTGTAGACACTGCACCTGGTTATTCAAATCTGCTTACACAAGCACATTGGTTATTCATTCCCACACAATGGCAGTTCATAATGTTCTGATAATAAGAGGTTTAAAATGATAGACACGAAAAGAACATGGAGTACAGGCGTCCTCCATTTTATATGATAACATATGTACAGTGATTCCAACAATAGGAGCCTGACAACTAAGAAAGTAGGCTAAATAACTTTAAACTTTAATACATGTTCTGATAGGCAGGTATCAGTATCGTATCGGAATTGCAAAAAGCTGGATCGGGATATCCCTACTGTATTTCTACATAATAAGATGATTTCTATAACCATAAAATAGTTATTGAGGGGTGAATTTATTCAGACGGAGCACAACTGAAGGCCTAGGTGTGAAATGCACGGTTCGCCACTGCCTTTGAGACTGTCACAACAGTGTTATTTAGCTGGGTTTTTTTTGTCCTGTCTCCGTGTGGTCTCGTCATTTCCTGTTTTATTTTGATAAGTAACCCTCATCTCGTTTCAGGTCACTTGCACTTCCCGGTGTGTCATCGGTCTAATTCTCTTCCTGATCACCTATTGTGTTCACCTGGGGTTCCCTTTCCCTCATTAAATAGTCCGCGTTTCCCCTTGTCTTGTGCCAGTGTGTTCCGTCTTGTGACTTCACTGAGCTTTACCTTGTCCTCGAAACTAGCCTTGCCTTGCCCATTGTATATCCTCGTAAGAGTGATTTTGTTTTTGATTCCCCTTGTTCTTTTTTTTTAACTCAAGTGAGTATTATTTTGTAACTTTGTTTCATAGCCTTTTTCTTTCCTCGTCTACGAGTTATTTCGATTTGATACTACTCTTGTTGACCGATATTGTTTCGTACTTTGTTCCCACTCCTAGTGAGTGCGCCCTGAGTTTAATAAAACCCCTTTTTTTTTACCCGATCTCCGCATCTGAGTCCTGTCTGAGCTCCAGCCTTGTCAGAGACCAGGCTGCAGTTCCACTGATGGTTTTTGAGTTTTTAAAAGTTACCTGTAAATCCTTTAATTGCTACAAGTGTACATTTGTTGTGATTTGGGACCATTTGATAAAAATTAATTGAGTTTATCTATTTTTTGTATAATATTTTGGAAAGAAAAATAAAACAAAAACAACCCTCTAACGATTTGTTGTTTGTACAATACACTCAGAAAAATATAATAATTTCCATGAATTATTGCACTGTGCGAGTATCCCCAGGAGGAAGTGAAAAAATGGAAAAACTGATCAAATAAAAAAATGAACAAGTAAATTTCTGTCCTGCCTAATGACCCCAAAACATCTTTTGCCAGTGTCCTGCATTGCCATCAATCATCCCTTTTAATATAATTTGGATAGAAATAATTTGATGTAATAACGTACTATAAAGACTTTTAATATTTTGTCATTGTAATATTGTATTATAATAATCATATCACATGAAATATTATACTATATTTTATCATTACGTGTTTCATAATATTTCCCCGATGTCTGAGCTCTCTGGTCTATGGGCTGCGAGATCAGACCATCAGACCAGTCCTGGTGAATCATCTCTGCTGTCGGCAGAAAGTCAACATCAGTGGCTGATCGTTTGACTTTCTGCAGGTTTAGTCTTTCTGTTGTGGCTTCAAAATGAGCCGCTAACTCACAAAGTTTTTCTGCAGGTTTAATCTTTCTGTTGCAAATGAGAGGCTTTTGCTCCTACATGGCCATGCTGCTTGGCCATGTCTCTGACCAGTATGACAAAGCCTTCACTTGCTTTCTGTTTGCCTCCTCTGGTCTGACAGTAGTTTTTACCTATGTGGGTGTCATCGTAGCAGCCCACTCGGCATCCACAGACAAAGCAAAAGCCTGCAAGGCTCGTAACACAGTGCTGCTGCACCTGTTTCAGCTGGGCCTCAGTCTCTCCTCCACCATTTACAACCCGCTGCTTGGAGCTTTCGCTAAGGTCCTACCCTGTATTTTCATCTGCCCCAGATGTCTGAGCTCTCTCATTTATGGCATCCGAGATCAGAGCATCAGGCCCGTCCTCCAGGACAATCTGTGCTGCCACTTAAAACTCTCCCTTAAACCAGCTGGTGTGGCTCCTGCTACAGGATGAGGAGGAAATAACATGTTTTCTATGAGAAACCAACTGAATTTGATTTTGTTAAATTAGACTCACAGGCGATGTTGCAGAGTTGCGTGATTGATTGATTGATTGATTGATTGATTGATTGATTGATTGATTAATAACAAATATGCCTTCCACAGCATGGCCGCACAGAATGTGTAACATCCACCCCTGAGCCTAACCCGAGCTGATCCTGCCTGATTGCTAATTGGTCAGAGCATCTCACCTCTCTGTGAGCAGACCCATGGCCCACGGCCTCCCTGTGGGGGATGCTGTCCAGCACAGGATCAAAGGTCAAAGCAAGCTGAGATTGTGTTGTGGTTTCAGAGAGCACCACACTGTAACACAGATGACACACCTAATGTCAGGATGAGAGACTATGTGAGAAAACAGAGATGAGCCTGGACATAGATTCAGTTCCCTCACCAAGTAAAAGCTGAGTATAGATGTGTTCATGTAGTAGATTTAGTACAAATCCATGTGAAAAGTAACTGAAAAGGCCTTCCAGGTGGACAAACATGGAGGATAATAGAGGCCTGACAGAACAGCATCAGACCATCACATAAAATTAATTTAAGATCCACGTCAGAACCCGAAGTTTCGCGTTGAGTGAGCAGCTCCATCACAGCTGGATGTTTCCAGCAGAGCTCTTTGCTCTCAGGTTGCACGTCTACTATTAGTTTGTGACTTTTCAAAGCAGAGCCTTTCGGCATCAGGTCCTCCTCTATGGAACCAGTCTGGGTTCAGGAAGCAAACCCCTCTTTACCTTTGAGACCAGGCTGCAGGTCCACTGCTGGTTGCGGAGTTTTTAAAAGTTATCTGTACATCCTTTAATTTTAAGGGGTCAGGCGAAGAGAAGCCCAAGCGACCCCTAATGATGAGTGACACCAATGGGCCAAGTGTTCCCTTGTCAGCGGGGCCCCACTCTGGAGCCAGGCCCAGAGGTGGGGCACGTTGGCAAGCGCCTGGTGGCTGGGCTTTAGCCCATGAAGCCGGGTCGGGCTCAGCCCGAAGACGCCACATGGGCCCCCCCTCCATTGGGCTCAGCACCCATAGGAGGGGCCAAAGGGGTCGGTGCAGTGTGGAACGGATGGCAACCAGAGTCGGGGACCTTGGTGAACTGATCCCCCGCTAAAGAAGCTGGCTCTAGGGACGTGGAGTGGCACCTCTCTGGATGGGAAGAAGCCTGAGTTAGTGTGCGAGGCGGAGATTTTCCGGCTCAACATAGTCGGTCTCACCTCGACACACAGCTCTGGCTATGGAACCAGCATTCTTGAGAGGGGTTGGACGCTCTACTACTCTGGAGTTGCCCTCGATGACAAACGCTGAGCAGGCGTGGGCATACGCGTTGCCCCCCATCTCGGTGCCTGTACGTTTGGGTTTACCCCGGTGAATGAGAGGGTAGCCTCCCTTCATCTTCGGATAGGGGGACGGGTGCTGACTGTTGTTGGTGCTTTTGCGCCTAACAGCAGTGCAGAGTACCCACACTTTTTGGAGTCCTTGGAGGAGGTGCTGGAGGGTGCCCCCCCTGGGCACTCCCTTGTTCTACAGGGGGACTTCAATGCTCACGTGGGCAATGACAGTGAGACCTGAATGCCAACCCCCCGTACCCCCCCACCACCACCACCCCCCTGTGTACCCCCCCCACCCCCCACCACCACCTTGAGCCCCAGTGGTGTTTTGGACTTCTCTGCTCGGCACGGATTGTCCATCATGGACACCGTGTTCAAGCATAAGAGTGTTCATATGTGCTCCTGGCACCAGGACACTCTAGGCCGCAGTTCAATGATCGACTTTGTTGTCGTTTCGGCTGACCTGCTGCCACATGTCTGGGACACTTGGGTGAAGAGGGGTCGGAGCTTTCCACTAACCACTACCTGGTGGTGAGTTGGCTCCGATGGTGGGAGAGGATGCCGGTGAGACCAGGGAAGCCCAAACACATTGTGAGGGTCTGCTGGGAGCGCCTGGCGGACTCCCCTGTTAGGCGGAGCATTAACTCCAACCTCCAGGAGAGCTTCGAGCCTATTCCGGGGGAGGTCGAGAACATTGAGTCCCATTGGACCATTTTACGTGCCTCCAATGTTGATGCAGCCTCCCGGAAGTGCGGTCACAGTACTGTCTGTGCCTGTCGTGGCTGTAACCCTCGAACCCGCTGGTGGACACCAGCGGTGAGGGATGACATCAGGCTGAAGAAGGATTTCTATCTGGCCTTTTTGGCCTGTGGGACTCCAGAGGCAGCTGATGAGTATTGGCAGTCCAAGCAGCATGCTTGGTGGTGGTTGCCGAGGCAAAAACTCGTGGGACGTGTTTGGGAAGGCCATGGAAAAAGACTTCCATACGGCTTCGAGGCGATTCCGGTCCACCATCTGGCATCTCAGGGGGGGAAGCAGTGCTCCACCAACACTGTTTCCAGTGGGGATGGTGTGCTGTTGACCTCAACTCGTGACGTTGTGGGTCGGTGGGCGGAGTACTTCGCGGACCTCCTCCATCCCACTGGTGTGTCCTCCATTGAAGGGGCATAGCCTTTGGGTCTGGAGTTGTGCTCTCCAATCTCCGGGGCTGAAGTCACATGATGTCACATGAGGGGTGATGTCAGCCCTCATCTGTACCTTTTCAGTGGATGGAAGACGGCATCACTTCTCAGCCCTCCTTGTTGGCCCTGATGGGTCATGTGATCAAGATGAGACGACGGCGTTCCCACTTTTCCCTGAAAGCCATAAAACCAAGCAGAACTACATGACTTAAACTCAGATTGGAGTCTTGCTCCAAGCTGGGAACACACACTTCATCCTTCACAGACATGTCTAATGAGTCCAACTTCAACATGACTGTTGGCTTTAATGACCGGGAGCTGCTGAGGACCATTATCATCTCCACTTTATCCATAGTTCCATCTTGTGTGTTTCTGGTCATTAATGGGACAATGCTGTTCGTTTTGAGGAGCAAGCTGGTGTTTCGGGAAACCTGCCGCTACATACTGCTGTACAACCTCCTGCTGGCCGACACGCTGCAGCTGGCCCAGAGCCAGCTGCTGTTCCTGCTGTCAGTGTGCAGGGTGAGGCTGGCCTATTCCCTGTGCACAGTCCTCAACATGCTGGCCAACCTCACCACAGGCATCTCCCCGCTCACGCTGGTGCTGATGCCTTTGGAGAGGTATGTGGCTGTGTGCTGGCCCCTGCGGCACGCCACCGTCATCACCGTCAGGACCACCACGGCCGCCATCCTTGCCATCTGGTCTGTCAGCTCGCTGAGCAACCTCACCAGAGTCCTGCTGTTTCTGAGCTTCCCCTTTGAGGAACTGGAGCGTTTGCAGGTGAGGGATCTCTGTTCCAACATAGCGCTGGTGTCCAGCTCTCTGACCGACAGCTATGACAAAGCCTACACCTGTGTCCTGTTTGTGAGCGCCGCCCTGGCAGCTGTTTCGTCCTACATCGGCGTAATAATGGCAGCCAGGTCAGCCTCCACAGACAAAGCTTTGGCCCACAGGGCTCGAACCACACTGCTGCTTCACCTGGTGCAGCTGGGCCTCAGCCTGTCCTCCACTGTCTACCTTCCACTGGTCACCGCTCTGTCCAGAGTCTCCACCAAGACGGCGTTCCTGTGGGTTCATAATGTGTTCTATGTGTGTTTCATAATATTTCCCAGATGTCTAAGCTCTCTGGTCTATGGGCTGCGAGATCAGACCATCAGACCAGTCCTGGTGAATCATATCTGCTGTCGGCAGAAAGTCAACATCAGTGGCTGAGCGTTTGACTTTCTGCAGGTGTAATCTTTCTGTTGTGGGTCATAAATGAGCCGCTAACTCACAAAGTTTTTCTGCAGGTTTAATCTTTCGGTTGCAAATGAGAGGCTTTTGCTCCTACATGGCCATGCTGCTTGGCCATGTCTCTGACCAGTATGACAAAGCCTTCACTCGCTTTCTGTTTGCCTCCTCTGGTCTGACAGTAATTTTACCAATGTGGGTGTCATCGTAGCCGCCTGCTTGGCGTCAACAGACAAAGCAAAAGCCTGCAAGGCTCGCATGACAGTGCAGCTGCACCTGTTTCAGCTGGGCCTCAGTCGTTCCTCCACCATTTACAACCCACTGCTCGGAGCTATCACTAAGGTCTTACCCAGACTAGTGTTAATGCTAGAATCTTTTATATATCTGTATTTTCATTTTCCCCAGATGTCTGAGCTCTCTCATTTATGGCATCCGAGATAAGAGCATCAGGCCCGTCCTCCTGTACAATCTTTGCTGCCACCTAAAACTCTCCCTTAAACCAGCTGTTGTGGCTCCTGCTGCAGAATGAGGTGGAAATAACATGTTTTCCATGAGAAACCAACTGAATTTGATTTTTTGTTTCCCCTAAGACTTCTGTCCGATTAGACTACAGGCTATTGTAAGTTCGTAGCTCCTCTTGTTTTTGGTTTATTTAAGGTTGATTTAGCAGTTTTTAGTTTGTAAATAAATGCAAAGTTTGAAGATTGCTGACTCCTGTTTTCACTGTGGATTTTCTACTGATGATGATGATGATGATGATGTTGCAGATCAGTTCTATTACTATAGGAAATATTCCATATAAAACCCCTTGAGGAGCACTCACTGAAGTACATCGAAATTCACGAAACACAAGTGTTTTGAGGCAATTACAACACATGTTTTAAATTCAGGTTTAGACAGTTCATTGTGTATCTAAAAAAAGTACAAAATATATGCACGGATTAAAAAACCTGCACAAACTCTAGTGTACTTTTAGGGGTACACACATAAACTGGCTGTCAATGAGAAAGCCAGCTGAGATTGTGTTGTGGTTTCAGAGAGCACCACACTGTAAAGCACAGATGACACACCTAATGTCAGGGTGAGAGACTAAATGTGAGAAAACAGAAAAGAGCCTGCACACAGATTCAGTTCCCTCACTAATATGATGCTCTCTTACCAAGTAAAAGCTGAGTATAGATGTGTTCATGTAGTGGATTTAGTACAAATCCACTTAAAAAGTAACTGAAAAGGCCTTCAAGGTGATCAAACATGTATCTTACAATTGAGGCCTGACAGAACAGCATCAGATGATTTCAATTTAAGATCCAAGTCAGAACCTGAAGTTTTGCTTTGAGTGAGCATCTCCATCACAGCTGGATGTTTCCAGCAGAGCTCTTTGCTCTCAAGCTGCAGGTTTCTGAGTTTTTAAAGCAGAACCAGTCTGGGTTCAGGAAGCAAACCCCTCTCTACCTTTGAGACCAGGCTGCAGGTCCACTGCTGGTTCCTGAGTTTTTAAAAGTTATCTGTACATCCTTTAATTGCTCAAAGATTATATTTGTTGTGATTTGGCATCTGACCTCTCTGTGAGAAGAGCCACGACCTCCCTGTGAATTGTAATGAGCAGAAATCTATTTATTTTTATAATACTTTAGACAACAAACAACTACACAAAAACAATCTTCCAACAATTTGTTGTTTGATAAACACAGTACAATACACTCAGAAAAATAAAATAATTTCCCTGCATCACCAGGAGGATGTCAACAAATGGAAAAACTGATAAGAAGAAAAGAGGAACAGGAAGTACATTTCTGTCCTGCCATATGGCCCCAAAACATCTCTTAGCCAGTGTCCCGCATTGCCATCAACCGTCCCTTTTGTCATAATTTAGATATATATTGTTGTGGTGCAGAGAGCCAGGAGGCCTACCCCAGGGACACAGCCACAGTTGTGTCCATCTAACGACTCATCAATTCAGCACACCTGTGGCCAGTTACCTGGGGAGGCTTCTTAAGGAGGCTGAGACCTTCAGTTCACGCTCTGACGTACAACCTGTATGGTAACTTCGAGCCCAGGTCCTAAAGTCTGATTTCTGAATTTGTGTCTTTGACCCTGATCCTTTGTCCAAGGAACTACCACAGTGCGCCTTCCACGGCTTCCTGCACCCGCGCTCCCCACGTCCTGGCATCCCTGCCCTGTGGGCCTCCTGCATTTGTTTGTTTATTTCCCTCCCTACGTCCGGGAGAATAAACGGTGGCGTGCCACCTCAAAGGACTGCGTTACCTGCCCTCCTTTTGTTTTTCACTACAGGGGTTCGGTTCTCGTTGAGTCCCTTAACATATATTATTTGATGAAATAATGTAATCTACCCCTCCCTTGGCTGCCACCTTATCGTGGTGGTGGTCCTAGGAGCTATGTTGTCCGGGGCTTCAAGCCCCTGGTAGGGTCGCCCAAGGCAAACAGTTCCTAGGTGAGGGGTCAGGAGAAGAGCAGCCCAAGCGACCCCTAATGATGAGTGACGCCAATGGGCCAAGTGTTCCCTTGTCAGCGGGGCCCCACTCTGGAACCAGGCCCAGAGGTGGGGCACGTTGGCGAGCGCCTGGTGGCTGGGCTTTAGCCCATGGAGCCCGGTCGGGCTCAGCCCGAAGACGCCACATGTGCTCCATTGGGCTCAGCACCCATAGGAGGGACCAAAGGGGTCGGGTGCAGTGTGAAACTGATGGCAGCTGGAGTCGGGGACCTTGGTGAACTGATCCCCCGCTAAAGAAGCTGGCTCTAGGGACGTGGAATTTCACCTCTCTGGATGGGAAGAAGCCTGAGTTAGTGTGCGAGGCGGAGAGTTTCCGGCTCAACATAGTCGGTCTCACCTCGACACACAGCTCTGGCTCTGGAACCAGCATCCTTGAGAGGGGTTGGACGCTCTACTACTCTGGAGTTGCCCTCGATGACAAACGCTGAGCAGGCGTGGGCATACTCGTTGCCCCCCATCTCGGTGCCTGTACGTTTGGGTTTACCCCAATGAATGAGAGGATAGCCTCCCATCACCTTCGGATAGAGGGATGGGTGCTGACTGTTGTTGGTGCTTTTGCGCCTAACAGCAGTGCAGAGTACCCACCCTTTTTGGAGTCCTTGGAGGAGGTGCTGGAGGGTGCCCCACTTGGGCACTCCCTTGTTCTACTGGGGGACTTCAATGCTCACGTGGGCAATGACAGTAAGACCTGGAGGGGCGTGGTTTGGAGGAATGCCCCCCCCAGCTTGAGCCCGAGTGGTGTTTTATTGTTGGACTTCTGTGCTCGGCACGGATTGTCCATCATGAACACCATGTTCAAGCAAGCAAGAGTGTTCATATGTGCTGCTGGCACCAGGACACTTTAGGCCGCAGTTCAATGATCAACTTTGTTGTCGTTTCAGCTGACCTGCCGCCACATGTCTTGGACACTCGGGTGAAGAGGGAGGCGGAGCTTTTCACTGACCACTACCTGGTGGTGAGTTGGCTACGATGGTGGGGGATGATGCCGGTGAGACCAGGGAGGCCCGAACACTGTGAGGGTCTGCTGGGAGCGCCTGTCGGAGTCCCCTGTTAAGCGGAGCTTTAACTCCCACCTCCGGGAGAGCTTCGAACAAGTTCCGGGGGAGGCGGGGAACATTGAGTCCGAGTGGGCCATGTTACGCGCCTCCATTGTTGACGTGGCCTCCCGGAACTGCGGCTACAGGGCTGTCTGTGCCTGTCGTGGCCGTAACCCTCAAACCCGCTGGTGGACACCAGCGGTGAGGGATGCCGCAGTATACCTATCGGGTCTTTTTGGCCTGTGGGATTCCTGGGGCAGCTGATGGGTTTCGGCAGTCCAAGCGGAATGCTTGGTGGTGGTTGCCGAGGCAAAAAACTCGGCCGTGGGAGTAGTTTGGGGAGGCCATGGAAAAAGACTTCCATACCGGTCCACCATCCGGCAAACTACTCCCACGGCCGAGTTTTTTGCCTCGGCAACCACCACCAA